AAAAGTATAGGACTCTGAAGTTTTATGTGGAGATAACAGCTTTAAAGCCTTGAGCACAACCAGATGGTACTTAAATCAGAGGAATTCTACAATTTCACTATCAATGGGTTTCAATATGAGGCAGTTTTCAATAGCTAGGAAAACATGTCAAGTTGATAGTTTACTTCTTAGATCATTTCAGCCCATTTTCCCATCTTTTCACAGCTATATATGGTACAGATAGTAGCCACCATGAAGAAGGTGCTGAAAGCTGTACTAGTAGCTAGGGAACTGTATAGCTAATTCTTCTTTTTAACATATTGAGATAGGTAAGTTTACTAGTATACCCTGGGGTCTGGTAAGAGCCATAGTATCCCAGGAGTAGTGGATAAAACCACAGTTGAATAATGTGACAATAGCAAAGAATGCATTAAAATAACCTGAGATTACATTAATTAGATGCTCTTCAGTAGCATTTTGGAGTGGGGAAAGATAAGCTTGATTGAAACTTCTTGTTCAGTCATATCAACATTTTTATGAGCACATTTAAAAGTTAGCCTCATTAATAAAAATACTGCAAATAAATGGATGTTTAAATTTTTTTTTTTTTTTTTGAGACAGAGTCTTCACTCTATTGCCTGGGCTAGAGTGCTGTGTGGTGTCAGTAGCTCACAGCAACCTCAAACTCCTGGGCTCAAGCAATCCTACTGCCTCAGCCTCGCGAATAGCTGGGACTACAGGCATGCGCCACCATGCATAGCTAATTTTTTCTATATATATATTTTTAGTTGTCCAGATCATTTCTTTCTGTTTTTTAGTAGAGACGGGGTCTCCCGCTTGTTCAGGCTGGTCTCGAACTCCCGACCTTGAGTGATCCACCCGCCTCAGCCTCCCAGAGTGCTAGGATTACAGCCATGAGGTTTTTCTAAAGAAAAACCCGTGGAAACCAACCTCTTGAGAATTACAAATATAATTTTTGTTTTGATGGTTGACAAGAAAGGAACATTCAGCATCTATTTCAATATTTCAATTCATATTATTTCTTTTAATATTTTTGTCATTTAAGGAAAACTTACTGTTTTAGTATGAACCAAACATAAGCATATCCACAAATATTTCCACCTTCTTATCATAATTATAGTTATATAACAGCAATGCTGAAGTAATATTTCCAACAGGCAACAGTTACACTTTAACCTTGATCAAAATATCTTTTGCCAATTATGAGGTCATTTTTCACATTTTATAAAAAAGTGTAAAACCACAGAATCAAAGTGACAATCACATCTGTATATAACTGTGACATTTATCCTAATTTGACTGCCCTTACTAGTGTTTTCAAAGAAGTAAACATCTTGTCTATCTTACAAAATGTACAGTTAAAAAAATTTGATTACAGTATTTTAATGCTTTCACATACTGAAATTTCAAAGGAGAATTTTTACAAACTTGAAAAAATTATGTACTTATTGTCTAAACATTTGTAAACATTCTTTTTCTAGCTGTATCATTTAGAAGTTTGTGGGATGGGGGGTGGCATGGTTGGGAGATGTTACCATGTGCCTTCGACAGAGATAGTCTACATTGGAAGCTTCACAGAAATTGCAAATTGTATTGATTTTCTCAAAGAAACAATAACAGTGTATTTTTAAGTCTCAAACTCTCAATGACTTCAGTATTACAGTTCATAAATCTAGCTGGGTATGGTGGCCTGTACCTGCAGTCCCACCTCCTCAGGAGGCTGAGGCAGGAGGATTGCTTAAGCCCGGGAGTTCCAAGCTGCAGTGAGCCATGAACATGCCATTGCACTCCAGCCTGTGGGACAGAGTGGGACTCTGTCTCTAAAAAATTTTAAAAAGATTAAAAAAAATACAGTTCAAAAACCTTTATGATTTTGTTAATGAATCTCAACTCAGTGATGTGCTAGGTGAAATTTATTCTGGCACATTAAATTAAATAAAAAATATTAAAAAGAACAAATTGATTCCACTATGAAATGTCTTTTTCAGTGTCACCAATAATGTTATTTTTTATTTAAAAACCAAACTTGTACAAACACTACACGTACTTGGGGACTACAGACACTCAGTGCTAGAAAACAAGGGCTTTTTTGTATTTTATTTTTCTAAAGCCCAATGTTATACAAGATCCCACATAGTATAATTATTCCCAGTTGGATGGCAAAAAAAGTTTTCACAATACTACAGTAATTATGCAAAAGACCAGAACTAATGATACCCATCACTGCTTAACAGATAGAATGGTAAAGAGTACTATAGTTTCAAATTTTCCCTTTCATGAAGTTACTTTTCCGGCTCTTTGAAGTAATAGTATGAGGCCACTGCTGCCTGCTAAGTGCTAACTGCAATAAAAGCAGCATGGAGATAGTTCAGTCAAGGTTGTGTTTTACTGCAGTCTGTGTTTGGTCTATTGTTCTAATTTAAGTTGTAAATTATGAAAAGAGACTAGTACTAGTACTATACTGACTGATGATTATCAGTGCCTGTTTCAATATGATAACCCCCACCCCCACCAAAATAAGTAGTCACACCAATCTACCCAAATGGGCATATAGGTAAACTCAAATCTTACCTACCTAAGATTGTATCTGCAGTGTTAAACCTTTATACTTTTGTATCTGTCTATCCCTTTATACATATATCACAGCATAAGATTATTTTTATGGGCTTGTAAATTCATGAAAAAAAAATTAGTTCCAGGCAAAACTTTGTATACAGGGTTTTAACTCAGAAACAGTTTTCATTATCTCTCCCTCTCTTTCTGTATGTTGCTCACATATACAATGAATAGGAATAGGTTGGTCATTTCATTCAGGAGACTAGATCTAATTGATTTATACTAGGTTTTATGTTTAAGCTTGACTTATTTTGTTTTTGTAATGAATTCAGTTTTTAAAAAATAAAACTTGACACATTTCGGGAACTTGGACCTTAATTGAAACAGATGCTTCTACATCAGAAACAACAACCTGCTTTGAAATGGCCATGATGTTAATTCTTAAAAAGTGGCTACTGTGTGTATAAGGTAACTACTCTTTATACTGATGAAATCCAAGGTTCATTTCACTGATGTCAATGTGGAAACCATTTTGTCTCATGGCTGCTTAAAGATTTTCAATAGGATTAAATCAGCTGCAAGTCCTCATTATATCAGGGTTTACAATAGTGTCTGAGTTGGAGTCTGTTTCTCATAGAAATTTACTCAGAGACTGACTTAGATTGGCTCCTTAGAGCTAGTCTGATTTTACTAGAAACAACTGTATCACATCAGCCACTCTCATAAACTTGCTTTAAGATTGAATCAGCCCTGACCCTGAAGCAGATGAAAGTTTACTGAGCCTGTATGTTATGAGTCACAGAAAAATTTGCATTTAGTTTCTGTAGCAATACAGAAATAGACTATGCTTATTAACTATTCCAGTAGGTCTCCGCTTTGCGACTATTCTGAACTTAATTTTCTGATAAGAAAACTATAGTTGGACTTGGAGAAATTTCTAGCAATAAAAATACATATAAATCCTTATTTGATTACTTTATCCCCTAAATCACATATACCCCTTTAAAGAAATTATGTAGGGTTTATGGAAATAAATCAAGAAAAGAACATGCTTTTAAAATTAATTTTTCCCCAATATTCAGTGCAAGTTGAAAAATGATTAAAATGGTCAAGCATATCCATAATTCACTTCATCTAGTAGCTGGTTTTCATTGCCAAATAGGATATAGTTATTTAACAAAAATATTGACCTGATTTTCATTATTATATATTCTGTTTACTAAACAAACCTGATTCAGTTAACTCTAGATTCTTCTCAAAGTAAACCCAAATCTCAGTATTCTCTATTAACTGATTTTATTGAAATCTATCAAGACATTACAGAATAGAGGGTGATTTGCAAACTTTTATCGGCCGCCCTTTAACTTCATGGTAGCAGGTCAAACCAAACTGAAATAAAGGCACATACTGATTCTCTCTGTCACATGTTATCAATACCTTAAAAAGTAACGATGCAAGAGGCTTGAAATGCAAAGTGGCCGAGATGTTAGAGAGAAACTTTTGTTTATACCCTGCAGCCAATTCTTTTCTGTTAGAAAAACTCTGTTCTTCTCTGCTACTCCATAGCAGCCATCACTACACCAAAATGACCTTCCACACAAATGCTTTGATCATATCGACCTCTTCCTTCAATCCTTGGAAATTTGAAGTATTGTCTAAATCAGGTAAATATTCCTAATAGGTCTAGTCAGCTAGCCCCACAGCACCGGTAAATTTTCATATGCTAATATGTCTCAAGTAATTGCTGCTGTTTTAAGAAAGCAACTTTCTGTGTACTAATGAAGGCAATCTAACCTACACCTTAAGCTTGGATATTTCTGGGCATACGGGAGGAATTGCTTGAATAAAAGTTTAAAAGTTAGAAGATGCAGATTTCCTCTTCCCAAATATCAAGCATCATCTTTACAAACATTAAATTAGTAATCAAGTCTGGAAATTCCTAAGAAGACTTTATCAAAAAACTATGAATTAAAAATAAATTTTAATCACATCTGGTATACGATTACCAGATCTTAACAGAATGCCTTTTGATAGGCTAAATTTTAGAAGATCACATTCACAACAGTATTACCAAATCAGCATCAATAAAGAGGAGTGCTCTTAACCTTTAAAACTTGCTGACATTTCTTTAAACTACTTAAGAAATAGTTTCTATTTTTTATTATATTATTTTT